GAGGTGGTTGAGTCACCATCCCTGGGTGTGTTTAAGGGTCGTTTGGATGTGGTGTTGGTGGAGATGGTTTAGGGGAGAACTTTGTAGAGCAGGGATGATGTTGGACTCAGTGATCCCAAGGGTCTTTTCCAACCTGAATAGTTCTATGATTCTATGTAGCCTGTAAGTTGTTTGTCACAGGTGTGTTTCATTCCTTCTGTTCCTAAGGGGATTTTTGAAAAAGTTTTTTTCCCTGTCTTCTGAAAGTGAAGACTTTTACTTTGTCTCAGTTTCAAGCACATTTTTAAACTCGTTTGCATGTGTAAATAGAACACATGAAGTGGTATGCCTGACTTGCTCATCCATATTTTGCCATCTCAGAAAATTTTTTAATATAATTTTTCTCAGATAAATGTCTTTTTGCTTCCCCTCAAAAAATAAAAATGTAGAGGGAAGCCGTTTAGCTGCTTGGAAAAATTTCTGCTGGCATGCTGCTATGTTTGTGGCACAATTGAAAGGTTCTGGATGTCATCCTTCCTGATAAAAGAATGCTTAATTTTTGTCTGTCTAGGAATAACAAATAAATGTTAAAAAAATCCACTTTCTGGGCAGTTTAAACTCTTATGTAATGTAGGTTTGGCTACTCTGGAGTCTCTACCAATCAGAGGAGAATGCTTCGAGGAATGATTCCATAATTGCTTCCAAACTCCATTCTTTGTATGGTGAAATTCTATTTAATGTGGGTTTTTTATTTTGTTTTCTTTTCCTCCTTGCTTTAGCACCTAAGGCACCTCTGGCCAGCAGCCTTGCTCCTGCAGGCACCAGACCAGCATGGATGAAGAAAGATCAGCCACACACTCAAAAGCAATTTGTCTTTGAAAAGCCATCAGAGGTAAAAATTGCATGGTAAAAAATGAAGAATCTCATCTTTTACTAAACTTCAAATGATAAAAATTATCAGACTTTGAGATTACATTCTCATGCTTAAAAACAAATTACTCAGCTGAGCTGCACTTTGGGTTTTTACCAAGCAGAGTTTGCAGCTCTTGCATACATGGCAAACAAAGTCTCTATTTAGCCTCAGACTTGGAGTATTCATTAGGTACCTGTTAATTACTTTTTTCAGAAAGCCAAAATAATATATTCTTCTATTTATTCAGAATAATGCAGTGCCCTAAGCATGATCTGAGCTATTTTTCGCTCAGTCAGGCTGTGTGTCTCATTTGTTGCAGGGGAACAGCATGAGATTTATGTTATAGACTTTGCTTTATGTCTTGTCAGCAGATGGAGAATATTGCACTCCATGCAGTGGGAGAGCTGTTAATTCCTTTCTGGAGGAAAAAGTAGTCTTGAACACTCTTTTCTAAGACAGAAGTGTTTGAAAGGATGTCTTCTTGGCTTGAAATTATTTCAGATGGTCTGGAAAGATTCTGTTTTCTCTATGGCAGAGCCCTGGTATCTATATTGTACTATATTTTAACCCTCTTGCTTGCTCAGTTTATTTCCCTGTATTTCAGCACTCTCCTGAGCTCACAGAAGAAAAGTGTGAGTCCCTGAGACAACTAGAATGATAATCCAGGCAGGGCCAGGCTGAATTAAACTACTGTGTTTTTGTTTTTACAAAAAACAGTTATCTCAAGCTGTGCAGACAATTTTACAGTGTCAGTTCCTGCTATGTGTGGTCTATCTTGTGTTTTGCTCATTGTCTGGAGCCTAGGATTTGTTCATCCCTCCTATAGTTGCTCTAGATTTTTACTTCCATATGTGAAGATAACATTTTTTGTTGTTGTTGCAGTTGATAAATAGCAAGCAATGTAATAATCCAAATAATTTAGAAATTATGTCCTTTAAGGGGCAGTTGATTGTTAAAAACCACCTGTCATTATAGCAGCATGTAAGAGTTTTATGGAGCATGGAGAGAGTGGGTAGGTTCTTACTGCTTACCAGTTATCCAGAAGCATGTTTTTGTTATTGTCATACTAGTATGCAGCTGTACAGAGTTACTGTGGATGGCAGTCAGTTCTGTTTGACCTGGACATGCCAGGTACTGAAATGCTTAGTATTCACCATGTATTGTCTTGTTACCTTTCAGGTGGAGCGCAGAGTTCCTGAGGCAGGCATGATAGAGTGAGTGTTCTGCTGACTTCACTGTCCTTCATGTGGTTTGTCTGTCTTGGTGGCTTGTGGGAATCTGCTGAAACACTTCCTTCTCCACTTACAACCGCCATGCCTTTGGGTTTTTACCAAGCAGAGTTTGCAGGTGACACCAAGCTAGGTGGGAGTGTTGATCTGCAGTACAAAGGGTGGAGTTTCAGCCTTTTTATCCTGAACTGAATTTCTAAACAATAGAGTACAAGGCTGTGCTAACTAGTTCTTGTGGCTTTGGCGTAGCTGTATAAGCCAGGAAGAATAAGCAGTTGGACATTCGGGATCGACAAAATGGCAAATATGTGTGTGTGGTGTATGGTGAAGATACAGATTTTGAAAATTAGGTTTGCTTTATTTTGGTTATCTTGGTAGAATTTCCTTACTCAGTGTGCCTGTAAATGCAAACCTAATGGTCAAGGTGCAGTCTTGTATGGTTTTCTCCTTTAGATTCCCCGTAACATCCCTGCTTTACTTATCTCTAGAGCCCTAAAACTCTGAGCCTTTGGTGAAATAATAGTGAGAGGTAGAAAGTACCCACAAACTCATTTGCTTTTGCAACACCCCTTGCTGCCTTACTCTGAACTCTGTCTCCAGCACATTATTGCCTCCCCCTTTTTTTTTTCTTTTTCAGTTTTAAAGGAAATTCCTTGTCCAAGCTTACAGTAATTCTAGTCCATGAGGCTCAGTGTAAGATAATTTCTTGTTGTTTGTCCATCTCCTTTCCCTTCTGCATCCTCAGCAAGCCTGGGGTGTATGAGCTCAGCAAAGGACCAAGTGGTGTTTCTAGGTAAGTGGATGAAACTTGTGTGCTGTTGCAGAGTGACATGTTGATACTCATCTTTCTGAAGTCAAGTCTGTGTAGAGTGTTTTGACTGTAGCAGGTGCACATTGCCCTTCCTCTGCGACTTCTGTTTAGAGTACTCCTGGGAATACTTTCAGTATTGGGTAGCCAGAGACTTACACAGTTCTGAGCAGCTCTGAAGAGAAGTGAACCTCTTAACATCTAGTGTGCACTGCATCTAGTTTTCTTCTCCAGGATGAGGAGAAGGAGCTATGTCTATTTATTTAATGATCCAGAGTAAGTTGCTACTTGAAATTTGGATCAGTACTCCTGTGTTAGCAAGTGCTTGATGTCTGTGTTGTATAGTTAAGAGCTACCAAAAACTTTTAGCTGTAAATCCAACTTGTTTTAAATTAATCTAATAAAAGCCTTTAACATTGAGCAGGTTTGGTAACTTTAGAGTTGACCGTTTTGCTTACATGCTAGGCCTTAATTATCTCAGCTTCAGAAGAAAACCTACTTGTTCTGTCATTCCTACTAACTATAATGCATTTTATTTTACCTTGCTGACTTAGCTGCAATATAGGTATTAATCCCTTTCTTCTGAATTAGTTAGGTTTTATTAATTGTGGAAAAAATGCCAAGGATGTGGTAACTTCTTGTGCGTTTATTTCAAAGCTTTCATCTTGTTTTCTTCTAAAACTGCAAATGAGGTTTTATACCCATTTGAAAAGTAACTATTTTGGCCAGCTGGAAAGAGAAAAGATACACAACCAGCTTGCTTATTCTGTCATGTTCTGGAATTTGTTTTCTTAATGTCTTTCTGGAATATATACATTTCTGGAAAGTTAATAATCTGATTTTGCATCTCTTTTAGTGCCTTTACTATATATATTCTTATTCTGATGTCTTTGGAGCACTGAATAGTTGTGAGAGTAACCTCTTGTGAACAGAATTCCTATTCTGCAGCCCACCACAATGGCTGGAATATTTAAATACTACTGTTAGTGCAGTCTAAATATAAAAGGTATATATGAAAATGTAAAAATAAGAGAGATTAAATGCTCTGTGGTTCTTGTGCTTGGAAAAGAGAGGATAGGATGGCAGTAGTGGTAAAGGGTTATCAAATTCTGAGTGGTGTGGAGATGGTGAATGAAGGGCAATTATTTACTTACATTGATTGTAGTACAGGGCTATCTAACTTATCAGATGTGAAGTTAATAACAAACAGAAGGATGTAATTTTTTCACACAGTATATGGCAGATTGTAGGACTCATTGGATAGTTTTGGTGTCACATGTTTTAAAAAGAAATTAGATGCATTTGGTGGGGAGAAGACTGATCAGGAGCTCCTGCTGCCTTTCTGGTCTTTCCTTTAAGTCACCTTTTGGCTGTGGTCAGGAATAGGATACTGGGCTTTGCCCTTTTGTCTGATGCATTTCAGCCATTCTTACATCCTTTGGGAATCTTGTAAATTAGAATATTTTATCACAGCATATATAGAAGTGTATATGCCTTCCATCTTCTATTTGTCTTTTTCTTCCTTAGGATTCATTTGATTTCTGGCTTTATTGACTCAGAACAAGCAGATTGGATGTTTGAACAACTCCTCGAAGATATACCTTGGGGTCAGAGAACTCACATCAGACAGGGTAAGGGGTGTGTAGACAAACTTTTTAGGTCATTTCCAGGTAATTTCCAGGTAATTTCCATTCCAAAATTCATGCACAATGAATTTATAATTGCTTTTCATTTTACATATTACCACTGCTTCCTATGTTTCCTTCCAGATTATCCATGCATATCTGAAGAGTACTGCTGCTTAATTTTCAATCTCTATCACCATGTTCATATTGCCAATTAAATGAGATCTTTGCAAATCAAAATTCCCTGTCTTTAACATACTGTCTCACAGCTGCAAAAACTCTGTTCTTTGAGGATTTTGTTGCCAGGAATATTTTTTGCCTCTTTTACTTCAGATCCCAGCAGAGCATGTTTCTCTTCCCTTGTCTTTGCTTAATAGTTGCAGTATGCACTAAGTGAGGGGACTGCTATTCTGGATTTGTTCACTAAGGGGCATCTGTTCCAGCTAAATTTTATTTCAGTCAGGAATGGATGTAAGATAGTATATCAGAGCAGTTACTGGGCAGAGCTGGAAAGTAACTTCAACATCTGTGTTTATTGGCTTGCAGTAAAGGTACAATGGAGAATGTTATCTGTCAAGCAGGAGAAATAGCTACTAAGATAGTCTTTTCAGAAGTTGAAAGTACTTTTTAACTTGATGTTTGGTTTATACCACAGAGCATGCTCATATTTGACAAAATATTACTTGTCCAGCCTTTGTACATTCTTCTTCTGTAATGCCTTATTGATGCTGCAGTCCTTTCCACTTCATCCTTTCTGGTGGCTATGTCTTGCACCGTATGCCAGTGTGTTAGGCACTGGATCCATGAGAATATAAAACAAGCCAGAATTACAAATAAAATTTCAGCTTCATTTTACTGTCTTTAAATGGTCCAGTCCTTGCCACGTCTGGCATACGGGTAAGAAAATGTGTGTGATTCTGAGATTTTGGCAAGGTAGTTTCTCTTACCTGTTTTTAAATTAATCTCATTCCTTCACTGTGCTAATTATATAAGACTGAAGATTTTAAGGGACTGATTTTTAATTTTGGGTAAGTGCACAGCCCCTTTTTGGTAGTTTCTTGGCAGAGTTGCATCAAGCTGTCCATTTTCATGTCCTTTGATAAGGCAACTGAGAAAGTCTTGTTTTTATCTTTTTAGATGTATCTTTTGAGGAACCAAGGCTGACCTCCTGGTATGGGGAACTTCCTTACACATACTCCAGGAAAACAATGCAGCCAAACCCAAATGTATGTATATGTTCACAGTTTTCTTTTGTTACTGTCTACAAAGAAATCCTTTGCAGAGATTGAGACACAGTAAATCCCTCTCCTGTATTTTTCTGTAGAGTATCTATCTGCATTTTGTTTGTGATCAGCAACAGGTACTAGTGGAATGTGGACAACTTCATAAAACAAACATTATGACTGGATTGACCAAGAGGAATATGACTTAGTTGCTAACCATTGGCAAAAGGAAACTCTGGAGTTTAAAGTTCTAATTTTGGGTTACTGTAGCTTTAGACAAAACTTTAAATTGTTCTGTGTGGCTTTATGTATCTTTATACTGGAGATTGTAATGTACACAGTCATACTGAGTTTTTATTTATAAAGATACAGCAGTATCAGTTACTGAAACAGTTACTTTCAGAAACACATTCAATACTGCTTAAATGAGAATTTAAGCATATTGGTGATTCCTTTGTGAGAGCTGTGGAATTCACACACACAATCTGCTTGCTCAGCAGCTCCAGATTATATGATGTAATTTTCCACACTATTTTGGAAGGGTTAAAAACCTGAGTGACTCATTGAGGTTTTGTTCATGTTCACTGTCTCTCTCTGGCCTACAGTCTGTTGTCCCTTTGGCCTGTCTCTCACTATTGCTTTGTTTGAAATTTCTATGGCAGTAGGCTGCAGTGTTCTGAACTATAAATTGTGACTGTTGAAGGCTGGATAGCATGAGAGAGAAGCATCCCAAGTCCCAGAACTGCTGCCAAAGTGGGGGTACCTCCTAGAAAGCTCCGTTTGAGAAAAGTGGAGAGGTGTTATTTAACAAGATGAGTTTTTAAGATTTTGTAGTCTCAAAACTTCCATAACCCATGGGATTTGTGGTGGAACAAATAGGTTGGGTTTTTTTATGCTCATTTATGAAATACTGCTTCAAATTTACTTTTTTAGAAGCTGAGTGGCTTTAAGGATTGGAGGTGTCCCTCCAGAATAATTTTGTTGTTCACTAATTATTTAAATCTAGTTCAAAATTGCCAGTTGTGGAAGTTGCTGCTGCTCAGAGTTTGGATAGAGACTGAATACCCTGCATTGATATGCATAAAGTTCAGGGTTAGCTCTCATTAGTCCACTGGTTTGTTTTTCTTATCTAAGAGGTACAATGCCTAAATCAGTCAGGCATGCTGATCCTGCCTTTTATCTCTGAATAATTCTTCTTTTTGCTGAGAGAAAGAAACTCCAGCAGAGAATGAGATGCATGGGCAAACTTGCATAGCTGGGAAGCCAGCCCTGCCACTGGCTTCCCTGCCACTGGCTTCCCTGCCACTGGCTTCCCTGCCACTGGCACATGTTATGAACAGACTGCACATAAACACTCAGACATTTCACTGAGCTTTACAGGCAGGAGTTCCTGCAGTCGCAGAAGCAGCAGTGGATGGTGTAAAGAGCACAGTCCTTCCCTGTAAAATAGGGTTTATATCACAAAAATATCCCAAGTAAAATGTAATTCAGTGCACAGCTTGGCCAAAGCCAGTTACTTTCTTGGAACACTTGATCTGTAGGAACAATTAGCTTTGTGCCCCTCCTAGTTTGTTTGGTAGGGCTGGATGTGATTGCAGCGTTGGTAGGTATAATCCAGTGCTTGTGCCTAAATAAATGTTGATACTAGAAACATGTTTTTTTATAAGCAGTTGATGGCACAATAATGTTTCAAAAAAATTACTTCCACTCCTGCAGGTTTGTAATGGGGTTTCTACTGAATTGTAAAATTCACCATCTGGTAATGTTTTTAGTAATAAATATTTTTGTGATAGGAACTGAAAGAATCCACTCCTAGTTGGCCACTGAGAAGTGCTATCACTAAGTCTTGTTGCACTTTTCATAGAATCACAGAAAGGACCTCAGGGATCATCTGGTCCAACCTCTTTAGGTAATACTATAGTTTATATGAGGTGGCTCATCACCCTGTCAAGCTGAGAATTAGAACTGTCCAATGTGGGTGAATCTCCCACTTCCCTTGGGAGACTTTTCCAATGTTTGACTGTTCTCATGGTGAAAAATTTACCTCTTGTGTCCAATCAGAACCTCCTCAGGAGCAACTTGTGCCCATTACCCCTTGTCTGTTCCATGTGACTCCTTGTAAACAGTCTCTTGGTAGCCACCCTTTCAGTACTGGAACATGGTAATAAGATCTCCCTGAAGCCTTCTCTTCTCAAGGCTGAGCAAACCCAGTTTTCTCAGCCTCTGCTCATAAGGCAGGTTCTCCAGTCCTCTGATCATCCTTGTGGCCCTTGACTGGACCCTCCGCAGCCTATCCACATCCTTTTTGTAGAGCAGGGACCAAAACAACCCAGCAGTCCAGGTGTGGCCTGACAAGCACTGAGTAGAGCAGGATAATGACTTCTTGATCTCTGCTGATGATGCCCTTGTTGATGCAGCCCAGCATCCTGTTGGCTTTCTTTGCCACTGCAGCACACTCATTGTGTTCATTCATTGTTACTTTTCTGTCATTGTATTGTATGCACATACTCTGCATTCAGACAGCTCAATTACAAACTATAGCTCTTTTTTGGGTGGTATTA